AAGTCCGTCGAACCATGAATTAATTAGTGTTTGGGACAAAATACTATATCCTAACCTCTAGTGAGTGAACCCCAGTCCTCGATTCTCTAACCAATATCATGAGATTCGTTTAATCTTAAGATAAAAATCAATGCTTCTGATTCGTCGAAAATAGTACAAATAATACTTGTGAACGCAGACGTATAGCATACGCGTAAACTAGCCTTTGGCGCGTATATATATATATGGTGAATACTGGTGTACGTCAGGCGTATAGTATACGTCAGTTGATCTAGCCGTTAGATGTACTTGGATGAGCTCCGGCTGATCTCAACCGTCAATTTTTGTTTTTCATTAAATCCGGTTAATTCGAGGTCTAGATATCATTTTCTTATTCAAGGTATGTCGTATCCTAAATTTTACCCAAGGTACAATAGAAGCCACCATATATATGTAGTTCAGCGTACGGCGTACGTTATATGCATGCATTCACACTACTGTATCCCCGTCGAGTTTTACAATTCAGCAAAATATATTGAAGTGCAAGTAACAAATATGAACACAGTCGTATTGCTTACCTCAGACGTAAGCTAGTCTTTGCCATATATATCCCAAATCCGAAGTTCAATTTAATTGAAAACTAATTAATCGTTGAGACTGGTCAGAGTCCATCCAAATACATTTAACGACTAGATCATGTGGAATATACTATACTCTAAAGTACACAATTTTTTTAAAAGTTGAGTTGCATACGCTTGATATCAATGGCGGTGTTTATCCTATTTAGAAGGTAAACGTGGGGAATGTGAGACATGGATTTGTGCATATATATGTAAAGGAGGAGTGGAAGACAGAGCTATTTTATCAAGGTACGTGTAGGTTTCGTTTCTTCTTTCACCTTATTTAAATAAGGGTTAATACCTTATTTTGGTCCGAACTATGACAATATAATCAACTTTGGTCCGTAGTTTAAGAAATGAACATCATGGCCTCAAGTATGTAGCTTATAGACTCAATTGGCCTGACACATTGTTTGATCATCAATTTGGATAGTCAACACCGTTGACCGTTAGTCCACACGCCATGTCATTGCCTCATCAGCCTAAAAATTATTAAAAAAATCAAAATTCCAATGTATAACATATCTTGGCATATCTTTATGATTTGTAAATTTATTATATGCATATACTATAGTCTGAAGACAATATATATAGCCAAAACCACAAATACGAATTCAAAAGTTAAAAAACTTAATTGATATAATTTAAAATGATGGAAGGGAAATATAAAAATAAATTTCTTTGATAAAAGTAAACAAAAAAAAACTAAAAATTTAATTAAGTCATTTGCTCCGTCCAAGGTTCAAACCCTGGTCAATGGAGGAGATATCAATTTTGATTACCTCTAGCGCTAGAGTACTAGCACAAGATTGATAATATTTTTTTCACACGGAACTCATTATACGTATTTATACGCAATTCTTCAAATATCGTAGAAAATTATACGTAGATGTAAAATTTCGAGGGTGCGAGGGTCCCTCAGATCTTACCGAGCTCCGTCCCTGGTGTCGCCAACGACTATTTTCAAGCAACTTTTAAATCAAACAGTTGGAGGGTTCTACTTCTATCATGATATTCTGCTAAAAATTGACTTATATTTATTTTCTTTTTTACTGTAGACTTATGAGTATAATTATTGTATTTATGCACAACGTTGTTACTGGAGTTTGAGTTTTTTTTTTTCTTTTTTCGGGCGTTTGTATCTATCCACAATGTAGCGGGGAGCATAAAACTAGTATATATGAAAATTAAAACACTAGTGTGCTCTATAGCACCCATGCTATAAAAAAAAAAAAAGGTGACCGGTTGAGGAGGTAAACCCACTAAATGACTGGTCCCACATCATTAATGGCAATCTTGTAAATAATGAATCAATGTATACAAGTGTAGGTACAAATTAGAGTTGTACCATATCGTATAGGTACAAGTTTCAGTTGTACCATTAAAGAATTTGTTTCACAAAGTGTAGGTACAACTTAAAGTTGTACCATTAGTATAGGTACAATTTTGAGTTGTACCATGAAGGGATTTATTAGAAAGTGTAGGAACAACTTAAAATTGTACCATGTTATAGGTACAAGTTTGGGTTGTACCATAAAAGAATTTTGAGAAAGTGTAGGTACAACTTAAGGTTGTACCATTAGTATAGGTACAATTTTTAGTTGTACCATAAAGGGATTTGTTAGAAAGTGTAGGTACAACTTAAGTTTGTACCATTAGTATAGGTACAATTTTGGGTTGTACCATAAAAGGATTTTTAGAAAGTGTAGGTACAACATAAAGTTGTACCATGGTATATGTACAAGTTTGGGTTGTACCATAGAAGGATTTTGAAAAAGTGTAGGTACAACTAAAAGTTGTACCATTAGTATAGGTACAATTTTGAATTGTACCATAAAGAGATTTATTAGAAAGTGTAGGTACAACTTAAAATTGTACCATTAGTATAGGTACAATTTTGAGTTGTACCATAAAGGGATTTATTAGAAATTGTAGGTACAACTTAAAATTGTACCATGTTATAGGTACAAGTTTGGGTTGTACCATAAATGAATTTTGAGAAAGTGTAGGCACAACTTAAGGTTGTACCATTAGTATAGGTACAATTTTTAGTTGTACCATAAACGGATTTGTTAGAAAGTGTAGGTACAACTTAAAGTTGTACCATTAGTATAGGTACAATTTTTAGTTGTACCATAAAGGGATTTGTTAGAAAGTGTAGGTACAACTTAAAGTTGTACCATTAGTATAGGTACAATTTTGAGTTGTACCATAAAGAGATTTATTAGAAAGTGTAGGTACAACTTAAAGTTGTACCATTAGTATAGGTACAATTTTGAGTTGTACCATAAAAGGGATTTGTTAGAAAGTGTAGGTACAACTTAAAGTTGTACCATGGTATAGGTACAAGTTTGGGTTGTACCATAAAAGAATTTTGAGAAAGTGTAGGTACAACTTATGGTTGTACCATTAGTATAGGTACATTTTTAGTTGTACCATAAAGGGATTTGTTAGAAAGTGTAGGTACAACTTAAAGTTGTACCATGGTATAGGTACAAGTTTGGGTTGTACCATAGAAGGATTTTGAGAAAGTGTAGGTACAACTAAAAGTTGTACCATTAGTATAGGTACAATTTTGAGTTGTACCATAGAGGGATTTGTTAGAAAGTGTAGGTACAACATTAAGTTGTACCATAGTGTATAGGTACAATTTTGAATTGTATCATAGAAGATTTTTAGGAAAGTGTAGGTACAACTTTAAGTTTAGTGTAAAGGTACAACTCTAGAAAGTGTAGGTACATCTTAATTCCACGGCTGTTATTTTGACAAAATGAGCTGTGAGAACGTTTGAGTGGCAGCTGTGTGTTTCAATTGAATGTGAGATTTTGACGGGCGTGACAATGTCAAGTAGTAGCCGTGAAATTTCCTGGGATAGTGAGAACTGCTCTTTGCATCTCACGGGACATCTCACGGTCGTGATATTTGTCTAAGGAATGAATCACTGCTTTTTACATCTCACTTGAGTATTTTACGGTCGTGAGATTACCAGTATAAGGTGTCAGATTTCCAGCAGGATCACGTGTACTTATTATAATGGTGTTTCAAACAGAATGGACTTTTTTCCAGAACTTCAAACTTATGAAAAAGATGATTCATAATGGTCTCTAAAGCTTGACACGAGCATTACATAGATCCATTCACAATGTTCTCTAGTAACTGTACAACATATCAGATGAGTAAAGGGCAGAGCTATAGACCCACAACTGTCAATATAGCTTTCATCATAATGGTCCACAGCTAGGCTTTATTGTGTATTAGGCAACTAGTATTATGTCATTGGGAAGGGTATAGCTGTACTGCAAATTCATAGGATGTAAATCAATGGTTCCACAAGTCGATTAATACGCAGCAGACAGAAGATTCAGTTCTTATCTCTATAGTAAAATGAAACAATCTCCTGAACAATAAGGTTAAAAAGGAAACATCCCAGTTTCTCTATCTCCACAATACACATACCCTTCTGCTCTAAAAGTGATATATGATAGCCTAATAGATCTGGAGTAACAATCTTACCCTTGCTTCACAGATAACAAGCATCTTCGTTTGAATAGTTTCCTAACCCTGATACCAAGTACACCTCAGAAGCGTCCGAATAAATACACATATGCCCCCATGAACTTAAGTGTCTACAAGCAAGTGTGCTCCCCAAAATTCAGATTCTTATAACACAAGCAACAAAGATGCTAAAACCAGTTTATTTTGAAAATTGTCACATGGTCCAAAACAAACCTCTCCACATAAAGATTCAAAGAAAAGTCTCACATCCCCTGGGGTAATCTGCAGTGTAAAGAAGAGACAAGGTTGTTAAGGAGAAATGTTCAAGATATCTAGACCGAACTTAAAGTCTTAAACCAGGAATGTAGCTTCCAATATACCTTCTTATCTATATTAGTACAATACGCTGTTCTAGCACACATCTCTCGTTCATCTTCAGACTGAAAACCACAGCAGTTTTAGAAGAACTACAAACATGAATGAAGTTCAAGACAACTAGATCTCATAGCCACAATCAAACATTATCAACTCTTACCCTTGGCAAAAATGTTGGGTTAACAGGTGCAATTGCAGTTTTGGAAGGCAGCACTCTTAGTGGATAGTATCCAAGCACAGTCCCAGACAAAGTTATAGCAGCCCTTGCACCATCTGCAGGCAATCATCCAAGTTAGCAGAAGTTATTAAAACTACAGGATGTGGATTTCATATAAATAAGGCAACAATGTCTATTTTGACAGTATCTTTATCTGTAAATTCAATGAACGCAAAGCGAAGAACTGAATTAGGATAACCACAAATACGACAATCAACAACCTTTTTCTACCAAAGAAGTAATCACCAAATCGGTTCCATTGAAATCCATCATAAGGAAATCATTATTGTAATATCAACAAATAGACCTGTCAGCTACTCCTCAGTAACCTACATTCAAACATAAATAAAGACACAGTTAATGAATCAGACATCAATATTTCACTCAAAGATGCTATAGAAACAGAACCTAAATGAAAGTTGCCCTCTGGTCGATGTCAGACCACATATACAGTCCTCCTAATTACATCTTCCCTCTGAGCCATACTCCTGCCACGGTGCCACCATTGGTTCTTCTCCTTCCCTGATTAAAATTGATCTTCCGGAAACACAAGAAACAATGGCAACTACATCAAACAGCAGACACCATAATCCCATTTTGGTTCTAGACCAAATGATCATTGTTCTGATCTTATACAACTCCCTTCTCCCTCCCAATATCTGTCACTCGCAACATAAAAACAGCAAAAAGACAGAAGCTTTATCACACAAACCCTTTTGATCATTCCATTAGGATTCCCATTTGGATTAAACATTCCAAAATTGTTCGGAGGCTTGAATCCGCCGTTGCTGAAAATGTTGCCATGATTGTTAACAAGAGAAGGAGGTACAAACTCGTGAGCCATGGGATTCAGCTTGGACAACATCTCCACTAACTCCCTCATCTCATTAATCCCATTAGATTTCCCAAAATTCATCTGATTCTCACCCCTTCCGCCGTACCCACCATCAAACCTATTCCCCATCTGGGCCCCACCTTTCTCCCCGGTGGTTAAACCAGCCGCCGCCGCCATCTCATCCGTACCCTCTTCTTGGTCGCACTTCCCACCGATCGCCCCCGATCATCACTCTGAGGCGGAGCATTTGTACCCCCGACCAAAGATTCATTCATGAGTCTTCCCCTAGTAAAAGAGTCTCCGCCGCCTTCAGAATTCAAGTCCTCGTTGCCGTCTCCACTGCTCATCCCCTTTACTACCTACGAATAGACCCACCCTGAAACACAATCCCAGGAGAGGAAAGTTGAAAAACGATCAGACCCACCACACAATCTCACCGTTCCCGTCGCCGATGCTCAACCCCTTCAATATCGACGAAGAGACCCACCGCGGAAGAGCACAATTCACAATCGCGGAAGAGTAAAGTTGAAACCCCCCGATCTCTTTCTTCTCACAGCGTCACCGTCGCCCTAGATGCAGGTTCGTCGTCACCGTCGAACTATTTCAGATGCAGGTTCGCCGTCGCCGCTAATCAACCCGTCACTATCGACGAAGAGAGGCTCTGAAATTCCACCGCGGAAGAGAGGCTCTGAATTCCGACGAGCTCAATCGCCTTTACCCCGACTGGATTCCAATTTTTTAAAAAATTATTACGTAAAGAACCGGTGCAACAGGTTACCATTCCAATGAGTGAAAAAAATAATAATTAAATAATTTCAATCCAATAACTGATATTTTATAACAAGATCTAATGACTCTAAGTATATTAAAGCATGGGTGCTATATAGCATACTAAAATGCCTCACGTAACTCATCCATGGGGATAATTCGTTCAGTTTCATTTTATTCCGCATCTCTTCCACCTTACATGCATATATCGAGGAGTCTTAGGCCATACACAATAGCATTTCTTTGTCAGTTAAACAAGCTCAACAAAACCTTTCTTTTTCATATCTAGCACAGCACAGCTCGTTCCCGTACTGAGCTCCATCTTTGCCCTCGCAGTTCTTACGCATCTGTGCAGTCGCTTCTTCTAAGCAGGGACCGCAGAGGCGATCATTATTGCTAGCACAAGAAGAATGTACGTAGGCGTCTGGTACTGCTCCGGGAGAAGGACGATCCTCGGTGTTATAGTACGGCCTGCAGTCGTATAAGGATGTCCTCAGGTGCGCTAATATCACTTCCTGCGCGCCTGAGATATCAGAGTCGGTCGGACTACAAAACCATACGTTGGAGGCAGCGCACAGTGGATCCAGGGCAGCTTCACCAGAGATGATCATTACACTGCCCTGGAACCCTCCGTTGATCACTGTGAGAATTAGCGACGACAACATGGAAAGTTGCATTACTACCGTGCCCATCTCTCTCTCTCTCTCTCTCTCTCTCTCTCGTGGTTAGGTAGCTAGCGGGCTAGCTTTATAATGTTGGGAGATGGATGAATTTTGTGGCTTGCAATATTATATCTTAGATGTGGGATAGACAGCATTCTCATCTTCGTAATAAACTAATTGGAAGAAAATCCAAGCTTGGGAATTTTAGGTTATTGATCAGCCTAGCTAAGTTCTAACGCAAACATCAATGTCCATCGCGTCCCCGTTGCACATGGATGTTGTGCAACGTACTAATACACTCTCTTAAAAGAAAGACAATCATATTATGGGATTTAACCTATATGTCTATCTTAAAATTAGGAATCCTTGATTTATTTACTCAAGTTAAGGTCGATTCTTTATTCAAGCTACTGGAACTAGTAGATAAGGAGTGTCTAATTTTGTGCTTTTTACTTGGATCGAGTCTATTTGTATATCGGAGGCAATGGCGGATACATGCATGTTGAGAGAAACGGATTGTCCAACCTCTGATAGTAGTTTGCGTATATGTAAAAAAAAATTAAGTGGTAGCGGGATATCCGTAATATTCAACTTCCTATAGTAGTTTGTGTATGAGTACATATAATATTTATGTGCTAGTCTATGTGATTTGAACTTGGGACTATACTGCTACTATTCAACTTCCTATAGTAGTAGGATATGTCGAGAAATATTTGTTAAACAGTATTGACACCGAATATATTTACCATTTTTCATAATATGAAATACGTCTGAATTTTTATTGTAACTTTTACTAGTTGGATCATTTAATTTATTTTTTAATTAAATTTAATTTTGGGAAGATTACACCCTTATGTAAACTTTTTGGATCCGGCACTGATTGGAGGTAACCTAATTTTGTGGTTTGCTCTCAAGTTTTAATTGTCTTCTTTTAGGCGAGTTGTTAGCATAGTTGGTAAAATAAGGTACGGGAAAGTTTCGTTAAGTATAAAATATGTACGGGTATTTTACTAATGTAACGTTTAATAGTATGTTAATAGTCATAAATAGATAATAAATTTATAAATTTAACTATTATAAAAATAAATAAACATATAAATAATAGTGAAGTTGAGACCACCCACTGCAAGGAGGGGAAAAGGATGGGAAGTCCCACAATAGGGGAGGAGAAAAAGGAGAAAGAAAAAGAAAAGAAGGAAAACGTAGAAGGATTTTCCCTCCACTAAAAGACAAATGGAGGAGGGGAAAAGGAGAAAGGGTGGGCGAGGCCCCCGCGTATTTTGTTTTGTTTTCCTTTTTTATTAGTTTAATTATTTTGATTAGAGATCATTGTGTCTTATGATCGACAACATATTTTTAATCATCATATTTTTCAACGAACATGTTTTCAACAACTATATTTTTTGTTATTGATAAAGTCATATTTAATTTGTGATGAAAAAAGTATGTCCAAATTAAAAAAAAATTATATCGGAATATTCGCCTTAATCAATTATTATTACCTATATAAAAATAATGGAAAAAATTATCTAAATAAAGTGACGAGATCAACACTTAATTGAATTTGTGAGAAAAAGACCACTTATCAATCACCATATTTTCCCTACCTGTCTATTGTGGCAAAAACCCTTTTTCCCCACTTTTCCCGCCCAAATTTTCTTCTTTTCTTTTTTTTGATCAAAAAAAAAATTTCTTCTTTTCCCTTCCACCATTATGGATGGTCTAACGATTTAATTCATTAAATACATATATTAAACGTATTATATATAATGATTTTGTACGTGTTTAGTATGGGAGCTATCAAATGAACGGAAAAATGAAACAACTTAACAATAATACGGATATGGAAGTTTTAAAGGTATAAAATATGTACGGGTACATATATACGTGTATTAAATGGAGTATTACTAGTATACGTACGGTTGACTTGAATCAATTAACAACGCTCCATTTCTTTTTTCTTACTTGACATTGAACATTTATGTAAGATTGTGAGGTTTTAGTTTCCAGTTATCTATGGGTCGTGTGGGATTCCCAATGAGCTTTAATACTCTATCTTTCTTGATAATCAATTAACCAATAGTATTTTAACGGAAGCTTAATTCTCACTATGAAATTGTGATTACTGATACATTTTAAATGACCATGGTATTTCTCTAAATGTTCGACCTATACATTAATTTTGTATGTATCATCTCGATTGAAATATTGTCAATAAAATTAAATGGATTAATAAAATATCTGCTCATCCGCCAATTACATCCTTAATAATGCAGTCCACAAATTGTTAAGTCAACTAACATAATGAATTAACCTCTCTAGGTTCTTCTACGATGGCGTTGATCAGTGGTATATATACGTGCTTGTATGTAATTGGAATTGTGTGATGAAATAAGCCACCAATTAATGAAAGAAAAGGGATATAATTAGAGTTGTCAAAATATAACCCCATTCGATTCGAGTAACCTGTCCCATCAACCCTTCTAGTAACCCACACTCAAGTCCTGTCGCATTGTCCTGGCTGATGTGGTTGAGGCTCTTTATCTTAGCCTCTGTGACGAAGTCTCAATCACACCCTTGACAACCCCTAATTAAGTCTTCACACTTGGTTTAAATTCTTGCTATCGTCTTGCTCTTGGAATTGTAATCTTGAGACTGCTACCACCTTGATTATATGAGAGAGAGCCGGCCCTCTCCATGCCGATCTAGTACCATTATCTCTTTCCCCACCAAGTCCCCACATGTAGTGTTAGTAAGTTTGTCATGACACCAACTTGTCATGTTGGTGTCAAACCCGTATTGCTAGCTTGATACTTTGTTGTCTCTCCGATTGTCATTCCGGCTTGATACCCCTGCTACCAAGCAACATCGAGCCCTGCTACCAAACCAGCTTTGCCGGTTTGGTACCTACTTAGGGGGCTAATAATCCCGTCTTGGAACTTAGTCTCCATATATATGACCACCCAAAGCAGTCAAATTCTCGATTTAAATCCTAAAATCCTACGGTTTACAATTTTATTACATAATTCCTATCATGATTTAACTACAAAATCTATAGACCTTAAATTCCTACACTATCCACGATATACATCAATAAAATCTTATATTTTTACGGTTCAAAACTTTCGATCAATTTTACTTATTTTCCCCAGAATTTTCAAAACAACGCATCTTTTCCTTCTCCTAAACCAACATCATCGAGTTCTCTTGCACTAACCACCATTGACAATCATAAATTGATATCAATATATTAATCATCATCGATTCACCACTTCCCAATATTACCTTTGATAAATTGAAACATTAACATTGAGATATTATCATTGTAAGTGTTATGTGTTTTTGTGTTGTTTCTAATTTTCCTTATTGACATTAGTATGTCTTCTTTTAATATGGACCTTAAAGTCATATGATTTGCGATTTCGATGTTATCCCCATTTCAATTTTACCTAAAATATCGATTTTGACTGCTATGTGGCCACCTAAGAGCCTCTACGCAAAGTCCTCATCAAATTGACACCTTATCATATCGATATCTTGGCTGGCGAGCCCCCAGATTTTATATACTTAGTCTTGGGAATCTAGGGATTGTCCATGATGGATTGGTATCCAGTATGGTGGCCACCTACACTAGCCACCTTGTCCCCTCCTCATCCGGTTGGCAGTTGGCACCGTACCCCGTTTGATCTTTATATTTATCCAAATTTCATATCTTGGTAACAAACTTACCTAGCCGACTTGGTACCC